CCCGACCGAGAGAGGACCGAGCGGACACATGGCCTCTCCATTCCTGTCCGCGGGGACCACCACGGGCGACAGCGGCGGAGAGCTGAGCTCGGGGGACGACTCCGGTGACGTGGAGTCCGTCCCGAGCCCCGAGAGCGGGGCGTCGCGGAGCCTGGCCGAGCTGTTTGAGGAGGCGGCCGCGCACCTGCAGAGCGTGGTTCACGTGGCCAGCAGGGAGCAGCTCCTGTACCTGTACGCCAGGTACAAGCAGGTAAAGTCGCGGCGAAGGGGAGGATGCGGGAGAGCGACGAGAGGCCTTCCCTTTCCAACAAAAACTAATAGCAAGCGAGCTTGGTAAATGGCTAGTAACGAAGTGTGTGTATGTGTTGTTTGTTTTTTCATCATCCCTTAAAGATTAGCATCGTTACGGACATGGAAAGGACCTGTCTGCTCTCCTGGGAGTGATGTTTAGCGGGACACTAACAGTTTTCCTATGTCTTCCTTGACTTGCTCAATGCCTTTGCTGCACTTAAGCTTTTACCAGCTTTAGAACCGTTACAGAATGAGGATGACAAAATCAGATTTGTCAGTCACTCTTGCCAAAGGGTTATATGGATGTAAGGTTAAAAAAATATATTGTGAGATCCTAGAGAAGAATATGATTGTAATAAAAAGGGCAATGCAATACAAAACAACGTATTATTACTTTCTATTATTGTGATTTTTTTAAAACCCTAAATGCCGTAGACATGTTTTGGCTGCATATGCTAAGAGAGTAGGTAACTTGCCTATAAGTCAGTCAGAACTAGAACTAGCTTGTAGCGCCTGATCCTAAGACTCTGAACTTTATTTGGAAATAAAAATAATACTATCACCTCAGACATTTTTAATATGTCATTCAAAGAGATATTGAGTTAGGTACCAGAAGGAAAAAATAATTGCTTTATCATAATCCACAAATACTTACTCAGCATCTTTTATGTGCAAAACACCTGGGTATTATGCCTACAGGGAATGCAAAGAAGCAAGAGCATCATGCTACTTACCTTTAAGAGACTTACTAATTTACTTGAGTCTAGGTTTAAACTTGCTGACAAGCATTGAATAACAATTCAGGAAAACTCCAGTTTTTTAGAACACTGGAAGCAATGAAGTGCTGGGTAATAGCCCATTTTATTTTATTAAAGTTTTAAAAACTTTTCCTTTGCCTCTTGGTATCTATTTTTCCCTGTATTTTTTTTTTTAAATAGCTGGTGGGGTCCCTCTGTATTCTTCAGCTGAATATACTGAATAGAGATGAGCCTTTTTTTTTTTGAAGACTGATGAATATTAGTTAAATTAACCTGAGAGATACAATTGTAGACACAGGTGGTATAAATCATAGTGTTGAATGAAAATTGCCCCTGAATTGGCCTTGGAATTTTCTTTCTTGTAAAAAGTTCTGGATATCTATTTTCTCTTTGGTCACTTACATTAAAGTAACATTAAGAGGAGACTTCTGATTATTTAACAAGAATTTATTGAATATTGTGCTAGGATTGTATGTAATATGTATAACTGATGATTCTCTGGGCAGTATAAGACTCATTTTCTCCAAATTCCCTAGAGAACATTCTTTCTAGGACATACCTTTATTATTGATATTAGTGTCATCATTATTGAAGATTTGATTTCTAAGTCATCAGTGAGCTGCAGTCACCTGTCTCAGGTGTGCTCACTTCATCCAGATCGCCTGGAAGAGGCGTGTCCCTCGCCCTTTCAAGAGTTTGATGGAAGGGTGTCTAGAGATATTCTGTATCTGGAAAATAAAATCCTTCATTATTAGAGAATAAGATTATGCTTACTTAGATATGACATTGGGATACAGTTTTCCTCAATATCCTCTAAATAACTTATTTTTAACAGAATTCTGAGACTGTTAAAAGTAGCATCTTTGATAGAATAATAAAGTTGAAAGTCTACAGTATAATTCTGCATGGTGGAAAATTTCTCGTAAAATACTTACATTTTGTACTTTGGGCTGAATGAGGTAAGGTTGTCAGCAGGAAGGTAATAAAAATGAGCAAAGATATGAACCTTTTTTTCTCAGGTATAGCTTTAAACTTACCTAATAGCTCTTATAGTTTCAAATACACTTATGGCTCCAAAATCATCTTTTAGTGACATTTCCAAAAGGTCACACCAATTAACAGGGTGTTTTGGGGTTTTTTTGTGTGTACTAGCCTACATTCTCCCAGCAAAAGATAACTAATTGACACCTATAAAAACAATAGGACAATAAAAATTTCTAATTCCTTTTGGCTTCATTGTTCAGGAGCCTTCAGCACTAGCACAAGTTAGACTACTCATATCCTCCTACTTTAACCTGGGTACACTTGATTCATTGGCATTCACCATTGGCAACCTTTGTTGAAATATTCTGTTTCAAGGGCACTGGATATGTCATATATATCAGAGAAAACAGTTTAGAATTCAGGGGTCCTCAAACTTTTTAAACAGGGGGCCAGTTCATTGTCCCTCAGACCGTTGGAGGGCCGGACTATAGTTAAAAAAAAAACTATGAACAAATTCCTATGCACACTGCACATATCTTATTTTGAAGTAAAAAAACAAAACGGGAACAAATACAATATTTGTATTTGCATGTGGCCCACGGGCCGTAGTTTGAGGACCCCTGGTTTAGATGCTCTGTTAAAGTGGTATGTTTTATAACTCTATAGTTTATGATTCATTATCTAATGATTCGGAAACTGCTGCTCATGGTGTCCTAAAATCCTATAGTTTTATTTTCTCAGTCTTTTCTGGATCCAGAACTGAATTTTGGGATACAAAAGCTCTGTGTCAGTTGGGATACAGGGCAGCTGCTGGACTTTTCTTTTCAGCTCACATAATGGTCTGGAGGTAGTTGATCTAGGACTGGTAGGGTGGTTCTGCCTCATGAGATCATCCAGGGGCTTGGGCTTTTTCTATCTTGTAGCTCAGCCATTCCCCAAGGCAGCAGTTCTCAAATTATGGTCTGTAGACCCCAGAGAATGCCTGAGATTTTCTCAGGGGATCTGTAAGATCATACTATTTTCATAATAATACTAAGACACTATTTGCCTTCTTTCTGTGCTGTCATGGTGGATAAAACTGCTGATGCATTAGAATGAATGAAGACACTGGCAGTAAATAGTACTAGTAGTCATATTTCTTTGCCACCATGCACTCAGAGTAAAAAAAAAAAGCCAGTTTCACTTAAAAATGTCTTTGTTGAAGCAGTAAAAATGACTGGTTTTTATTAAATATGAACTTGAGCATAAGTCTCTTTAATATCGTGTGTGATGAAAGGGGGTACACACAAAGCTCTCTTGCTGCAGACTGAATTATGTTGGCTATTTCGAGGAAAACCACTTATGTAATTTTTGAGTTGCAAACTGAGCTATCCACTTTTTAATTAAACATCACTTTTACTTAATAGAACACTCACAGATAAACTATGCTTATTCAGATGTGAGCATTTAGCACAGTGGTTCTCAGCCTTGACTGCACATTAGAATCACCTGGGAATCTTTTCTTTTTTTTAAAATATTTCTTTATTGATTTCAGAGAGGAAGGGAGAAGGAGAGAGAGACAGAAACATCAGTGATGAGAGAGAATCACTGATTGGCTGCCTCCTGCACACCCCCTACTGGGGAATGAGCCCGAAACCCAGGCATGTGCCCTCGGCCGGAATCGAACCTGGGACCCTTCAGTCTTCAGGCCGACGCTCTATCCACTGAGCCAAGCCGGCTAGGGCAGGGAATCTTTTTAAAATCCTGATTTCTGGGCCTCATCCTCTGGAAATTCTGTTTCTTTGTTATAGGGTGGGGCCACAACATTAGTAACAAACAGAATTTCCGGAGGACGAGGCCCAGAAATCAGGATTTTAAAAAGATTCCCAGGTGATTCTAATGTGCAGCCAAGGTTGAGAACCACTGATTTAGCAGAAAGTTTCTTGAAAATGATTCAAGTGAGCCTATCACTTTATGGAAAACAACTGACAGTATTTGTTGCCAATGCGAACATTTGAGCCTTCAAGTGAAAATTAGGAATTTGGAAAATCTGCCACAGGAGCTTGACAGCTTCCTAATACTGAAACACTTTTATAATATTAGTGATGATTTTAATGATTGTGAACTTTTGCTGTTGTATAGGGAAATGTGTCAACATTTGGAAGGTCTGCATAACTTAGTAACCATGTTTCCTAAATATTGCATGGAGTAATGTTACAAGTTATGTGTGAATATAAAAACCTTTCAAAGTGCAAGTCAGAACAATGGATTTTAATGTAACTGAAAAATTCATTCATATGACTTCAGATTCCAGATTGCAACTAACCTTAAAGAAACTGTCACTGAGTTTTGGTGTGGCATCAAAGAAGAATATTCACAATTATCTGAAAATGCTGCTAAAATACCTTTCTTTTCTAGGAGCATATCTGTGGGAAGCTGAATTTTCTTCATATACATCAACGAAAGCAACATGTTGCAGTATATTGAATGCAGAAGTAGATTTTTGAGAATATATTAAGGCAGACATTAAAGAGATTTGCAAAATGTAAAACAGTGTCACCTTTTTTATTAAATTTTTTTTTTTTTGCTTTAGAATGATGGTTATTTTTTTATAAAATTTTGTTATGTTAACATATGGGTTTATTATTTTTAAGTGAATTAATACATATTTTTTAAATGTGTTTTAAGCAGGTGTTCAACAAAACACCTACTTTCCCTAATGCTAAATATCCAATCTGACCCCAGTCCACTTCTCAGGGATCTTTTAAATATCAGTAGCTATAACCCACATAAACAAAAGCTCTTTGGGACCCTCAGTTTCTAAGAGTGTAAAGGGATCATGAGATCGAAAAGTTTGAGAACTGCTGCCCTAAGATCCTCTGTCCATGGCCAGAGATAGCTCACCATCAGCACATGCATGATTTAGCCCGGGCAAAGGGAAAGGGAAGGACAAGCCTTTTTTTCTTTTTTAAGAAAGATATTTATATAATTTTTACACACATTCAGTTCCCTGTGCCTGGGCAAGAGTTGCATGGCTATATGGATGACCACGTGTCTGGCTGAGACTTGTATTAATGTTGGAGAAATGGAGAATAGATTTAGCCTTTGTTTCTGCCTCTGGCTGATGTCTGGTTAAAAACAACAACAATAATAATAATAACTATCCTTTTAATGTCCAATAGTTCATCTCATTTCATATTTCTATCATTTCAGTAGTTCAGGTGATTTTAGAGATGCCAGAACTGAAGCCTAGATTCTGTGTAACATATATAACAGTGTTACAGTAAAGGAATACAGTGGGGCCTTGACTTACGAGTGTCCCGACTAACGAGTTTTTTGAGATACCAGCTGTCTCTTGGCAGAGTTTTTGCATTGAGTTGATAGAGTAATTAACGAGCTCGAATTAAACTCGTAAGTCAAGGCCCCACTGTATTGGACTGTGGAGTCAAACAGTCCTGGATTCAAACCCTGACTACTCATTAGGATTTACTAATGTGTAAACCGCAACAACCCTCCTCAGCTGCTCTGTACTCATTTATAAAAGGTGTTTGTAATGGCAAACCTAAAGGGATTGTTGTGTGGCTTGTTTGATATACCATGGGTGGAGCTTTCGCACACCAAATGCAGCTGCTGCTCTCTCACCTGTGTCCCTTCATAACGGCTGCTGCTGTGTAAGTGTACATTTTAATAATCAGATTGTGACAAATTGCTAAGCAAATGATAGGGATGATAATTGTTATGATTTCAGAGATGGATGGGATCATTGTGGACTGAAAGTGTCCTTAGAATCTGAACCTTGAGTAGGAGGTGTAGCATTTTGGAAAGCTCAGGGAAGGCATTTGTGGTGAGGGGAATTACTACATTGAGCAAAACTCAAAAATCCACAGGGCGCAGTGAGTTAGCAGTCTGGTTAGCAAGTAGACCATCATTTTGATTTTAGCAAAATTCAAGTGTAGAAGAGTAATAGGAATTAGTGAGAAGATCCCTGAGAAGTGGATTGGGATCAGATTGGATATTTAGCATTAGGGAAAGTAGGTGTTTTGTTGAACACCTGCTTAATACTATTCATTCTATAGTCAACAAGCATGTTTACCTTAAGTTAGGCACTATATTAGGTGCAATGATTGAGTTAAATCACTTACACACATTCAGTCCTCTGTGCCTGGGTTTCTTGCAGGCTGTATTCTAATAGAAGGATGAGACTTTACACAGAACTTTCTAACACAAAAAGTGAAAAATACTGTCATAGATTGTATCATACAGAATAAGTGCTATGAGAGTTTATCGGAAAGGGAGATCACTTCTGGCGGTAGGAATCAGGGGCCGGATAGTGAATTCTGCACTTGTGTGAATTTCATTTAATGTTTATTCACAATGAAGCTAATTACTGTATAGTTTAATTGGATTAAAAGTAAGTATTGACCACAAACAGAAAAGATTATTATGGAATAGATAGAATTTATATTGTTGAGAAACCCTTGAAATTTTTTGCACAGCCTCCAAAATAAATTTATATTGATTAGTTTCATAATAGGGCACTTTAAAAATAGTGTGTTTTATCCTGGAATTTGGGAGAGATAAAATGTTACAGTGTTATGAGCATCAGTATAAATAAACAATATTATGAATTGTGATAATTGTACTTTAAAGTTTGTTTATTGCAAACTTTAAAATTGTTCTGTATTATAAGTAGTAATTAGGATTGCATAATCTATATTTATAATTTGTCATATATAATTTGTCTATTAACTTAGGAATGTAACTGTTTTTCACCCGTATTTTTAAAAATATATTTTTATTGATTTCAGAGAGGAAGGGGGAGAGAGAGAGAGAAACATCAATGATGAAAGAGAATAGATTGGCTGCCTCTGCATGCCCCCTACTGGGGTTTGAGCCTGCAACCGGGCATGTGCCCTTGACTGAAATTGAACCCAGTACCCTTCAGTCTGCAGGCTGATGCTCTATCCACTGAGCCAACCAGCTAGGGCTTTCATCCAGATTTTTAAATGTATTATAGTATTAGATAAATTGTTTTATGCAGTAAGCAAAACCAGCCTATATTTAAAGTTTTTTTGTTTGCTTTTGCAAAAATGTTAAATTTTGTTATCCTATATAGGTGCAAATATTTTCTAACCAGTAGTTACTAAGTACACATAATAGCTTTGAAAATAAAAAAGTTTCTCTGGCATTTCTTTGAAAAATAAGTTCTTGATTTCCTCCCTCTTCATTTAGGTCAAAGTTGGAAATTGCAATACTCCGAAACCAGGCTTCTTTGATTTTGAAGGAAAGCAAAAATGGTAAGAAATTATTGGACTCTATTGGGGTTGTTGGAAGTGGTTTAGGTGTTTAGGAATTAGAAATGGATGAGCAGATTAAAGAATTATTTTTATATTAATCTCCCTGCCGTAGACTGATAAGGGCAGGCAGTTGAGAGAGAGATTAAAAGAATCCGATTTTAGCTAAGTCTCCTAAAGGATTCATATGCCATAATGTTGGTATGTAAGTAGTTCACAGCAGAAATACATTCCTTACGTAAGAATAGCTTCTTAGAGAGTGACCATGTGAGCTATTGCTGGAGATTTCCCTTTCCTGTCATACAGTCCCCACTTCTTCCTCTGAGAAGAGCAGGTGAATCCCCAGTCCTTACTCTTTTCCCCGACCCTGTTTTATCTCATCTCTAGTGCTCTTCTGTTCCTTGCCCCACCCAACACAGGAAGGAAGTGCTGACCATAACCTTTTGGGAAGAAGGGGAAAAAAACCCAGATGCTTACTTAATTCACTTCTTTATTGAATATGTAAAAGGATTATACCCTCCCCAGTTTTTTTGCTTGTAATTGAGAGGTTCCCTCTTAGCCTATGAAGCCTTATTTCCTCTTACCTTGCCTAAATGAAAAAAGAAGAATTGCATACAATAGGGAACCTTAGTTATAGCAGGAAGAACTTTGAAGCATTAGCCCTGGAATTAAATGTATAGAGGGTAGGGTTTTTTAAAAAATGAAATATGGTTGTAGAGAGAAGTGCTAAACATGAATTGTAATTTTACCTTCTAGAGCAGTGCTGCTCAAAATGTGGTCTCCTGGACAGGTTGCCTGTCTGAACTGTCCATTACCCAGCCGTTAGGAGAGGCCGAGCTTGAAGCCAAATGTAAATCAGTTACGGCAGCAGTTCTCAACCTGTGGGTTGCAACCCCTTTGGCTGCCGAACGACCCTTTCACAGGGGTCGCCTAAGACCATCCTGCATATCAAATATTTACATTACGATTCGTAACAGTAGCAACATTACAGTTATGAAGTAGCAACAAAAATAATTTTATGGTTGGGTCACAACATGAGGAACTGTATTTAAAGGGCCAGAAGGTTGAGAACCACTGAGTTACGGCATCAAGCACACTGCTTGGTTCTGCTGACCTGTTTGAGTGTGTACTGTAGGACATCTCAGTGAAGGACGCATGCTTTGATTTTCATTCAGGCCCAAGGTTTCTTTGCTGGTGATAACGAGTAGTTCTCCGACCGCGCTTTATTACTGTTGTAGAGAATACCTGACATAATTTTTAATTGTGAGGTGTGCTTTTTAAAAAATTTATGACAATTTATAACTTCATTATTTTTCTCTGTTTTAATTTTTTAAACAATTTTACAAAGTTTAGATTTTACAACCACTCTAATATAATTCAGGCAAGAATCTAAATTGGATGCTAAAACCAGGAGATGAAAAACTATTGGGGAGCAATTTTTATTCATACTTACCCACAATTTACTTATTAATTACAAAGAAGAAAATGGGAGATACTGCTTTTACCAAGTCCTCAGTCTTATCACCGATGATGGGACAATCTGATATCGTGCCCTCTGACGGAATGCACTGTAAAGGACATGTCACCCATGTATTGCTCTTGACAAAATATTTAACCTGATTCTAATCATGATTAATTGCTTTTGCTATGAACACTCTTTGGTGAGGGGACAATCAGATAAGTCCAAATGGAGGGATATTTTATAAAACAGCATGTTGGGATTCTTAAAAATATCAATATCATGGAAGATAGAAAAGGCTAAAGATACATGAAACTCAATGCTGTGTATGAATCTTGATTGGCTCCTGGTCTAGGAGAAGAAAGATATGAAGGAAATTATTGGCAAATCAGGGAAATTTTGTTGTATTGATGTTAAATTTCCTCAGTTTGATATATGCTGATATATTTATGAGTGAAGTGTTAGGATATATACGAGGAACTCTCAAGAGATTCAGTTAAAATAAATTTAGGAATCTCAGAAAGGTGTTCTATTCCTCAGAGGAGCAGGAAGGTGGTTAAGAAAATATGTGTCTGAGTTCTGGTTCACAGTGGACCAGTAGGTTTACTTCCTGGTGGAAGTAGAATCGGTAGGGAAAAACCAAGAAGGAGCCTGTTGTGGCAGCTTGCAGAAAAGAAAACGAAAATATTACTCTGGGCTTAAATATACTTGGTATTTAAACTGCACGAAGTCCCTACCTTCTTACCCATTGGTGTATTCTCACCTCTGTCCTCACCAGCCCTCACTTGTGAAGTTTCTGTGGAGGCCTTGGGATCCATGACTAGCAGATTAGATAATAGCAAAAGGGGGAGGTGTACTTTTTATATCTCAAATAAGAAGTTTGAGGCATTTTTCCAGGGAATGTTGTTTTGTGTGATGACTAGTTTCCATGTTACCGAAATGTAAGCACAGTTATGTTATAAGATGGCAACTACTTGTATTGGTCTATATACAGATCAGACATGTTCAACAGGGATGTGAAAGTTGGTTTTGGGGAGTTATAAAATCTTAGATATTACAATGGTTTGTGGTCTTACAAAATTCAACAGATATGCAATATATCTGGACTACTAAGATTTCATGGGAGAAGGTGATTAGAAAAAATTGTGTAAAGGTTCCTTAGGTGTGGTGAGAAGATCTGTGTAGACCAGTGGTTCTCAACCTTCCTAATGCCGCGACCCTTTAATACAGTTACTCATGTTGTGGTGACCCCCAACCATAAAATTATTTTCGTTGCTACTTCATAACTGTAATTTTGCTAGTTATGAATCGTAATGTAAATATCTGATATGCAGGATGTATTTTCATTGTTACAAATTGAACATAATTAAAGCATAGTGATTAATCACAAAAACAATATGTAATTATATATGTGTTTTCCGATGGTCTTAGGCGACCCCTGTGAAAGGGTCATTCGACCCCAAAGGGGTCGCGACCCACAGGTTGAGAACCCCTGGTGTAGACCAAAGTAAATACAAAAAGAGAGGCTCGTCTATGGCTTATTATATCTGTATCCCCAGACCTGTAAAATGTGTATGCCAGTTTTTTAAGAAACATGCTGTTTGTGTTACTTATACTTAATGATGGGTTGTTTGGGATATTCTAGGGAAGCATGGAAAGCACTTGGTGATTCCAGCCCGAGCCAAGCAATGCAGGAGTATATTGCAGCAGTTAAAAAATTAGATCCAGGTTGGAATACTCAGGTAAGACTTAATGATTATAAATAATGCTTTCCAAAAACATATCATCTTTCTCTCAAATAACTGTTTAAATCTAAACTTACGTTTAAGTAACATTCTTAAAGTTTACTTTCTCAAATCAAAAGATTCTAAATTTATTGCAATATTTATCTATCTGAAAATACGATTGCTTAAACATTAATATAACCAGCTACTGATACTGAGAACGTCTCTGAATTGTAGAGACTTTTAAAAAAGCATAGCAATAATTTCAACCATGTAAAAACTCAATTTATTTCAGAATTTGAAAGAGTTTAACATTAATTCATCACTATTAAGAAATGGTAGGTATCTCTTGGGGTTTGTTTTTTTTTTGAGCCCCTACTGTGCAAGTACAAAATGATTATTGATAGGAATAAACTATGAATAACATGCTTCTGCCTTTATGTGGTTTAAAGTATATTAGAGAAGATGAAACATACCGAAATATGATTAATCGTATAAAACAATAACATCCAAGTGCTAGGGAATCCAGTGGAAGCAGAGATTACTTTGGACTTTGGGGGCATTGGATATTGTTCACTTAAAAGACTCTTTTTCTAGTGTACTTATTGGAGAACATTTATAAAGAATTTATTAAAGGTGGAGTTGCTACTTTATTTAAAATTTTTAAAGCCATGGTTGGCAGGTGTTTCAGTGGGATAAAGGCTGGATCATTGCCATGTCAACAATACAAATTGAATGTATTTCTTTTCAATAGAAATATTTAGGCCAAACTTTTCAGCAGTGAATGAATTCAGCAATTTTCAGTGTTTCTGATAATAAGTTATTTCATGGGTACATATTAATTACTAGTATGAAGGAATTTTGTTCCATTAATCACAAATTCTTAAAATGTCAGAGTTATGAGGAACCTTAAAGATTATATATTATGACATGTAAAAGTATATCGTAACTGTGAGTTCAAAGTGGGACAGATATCTTTGATAATGTGATTTGGGTGCCATTGAAACATTCCCTGATGTTTTCGATGTACATGAGTATTCATTCTCAGAAATATACCATTTTATTAATATCTTTTATAAAACAAGTTTGCACACAAATATCCTGTATGATAGTTAATATGCTAACTAGACCAGACAGCAGAACGACCTTCTGGGATGACCTTCCGGAATGACCAGTGGGGGGGGCGGGGTGTGAGGCTGCCAGGGCTGCGAGGGCCTACTCTTGCACGAATTTTGTGCACCAGGCCTCTAGTATAGCATAAAGATCCTAAGAACTTAAAACCTGAAATTCAGTGGTCAAAACAGGTGCTCTCTGAGCTGAACTCAGCCTAAACACATATGGCACGATGTTTAAAACAAAAAGACACAAAACTTAAATGTCTTTAGATGGGCTCTTCAGGTCCTGCCACTGTGGTCTCAGTTCTTCCCTATTGATTTAGCTTGACTTTTTCCATTGCCTGGCCTATGTAGACATTTGAGTTTATAACTCCTAATTAATGATAGAATTTATGATTTCTTACCTTCAGTATTTTAATTCTAAATAAAATCTGTTAACTATGACTCTTACAAATGTTTGCAGAGTGCCTGTGTTTAGGTAGTTCTTATGGAAATCCAGACAGGCATTAAGGATGCTTTTAAAAAATATCTGAACCTCACCTATTGAACATAAACTTAATTTGTAAACCAAGCATAATCAAAGGTACTTTCATATAAAGAGCATTCTTTAGTACATTATTCTAAATATATTTTGACATCATAATCTACTTGTAAAAGGGAATTTTGTTTCATTTACATTTAAATTTTTAGTTTAAGCACTCTGAGTTGGTCCCCTTTGTCTCAGTTTTTCTCCTTGTTTTTTATTGTTAGGGGACAGAGCATAACCTCAGTCTCAAGAGATTTGGTATTCAGTTCATAATGTTTTAGGTTAAAGACTCATTTTCTTTTGATGTTCATTTCTAAAAACAGTGGAATAATAACTCATATGCTAAATGTGCTGAGCTATTTACACATGTATTCACCTTTGAAATCTTCACAAGAATCTTAAGAATTAGAAACTTTTATTGTCTGCATTTTAAAAATGAGGAAATTTAGGTACAGAGAAGTTTAGTACCTTGTCTAAGATTGGGCAGCTAATAAATGATGGTGCTGGAATTTGGGTTTATGCTGTGAGTGTAGAGCCCCACTCTTAATCACTCTGCTCCCTGTTCTGTAGCTTTATATATGTCTCTCTCTCTCTATATATATACACACACACATACACACACACACACACACACACACATGATCTTGATTATGTAATGGCAGGATTTACTTTTTTCTCATTTCTGAATAATATTTCATTATATATATAAACTACATCTTATCCATTCATAGATGGACACTTAAATTGTTTTCATATCGTGGCTATTGCAAACCATGCTGCAGTGAACATGGGAGTGCAGATATCTCTTTGAGATCCTGATTACATTTCCTTTAGATATATACCCAGAAGGGGTATTGCTGAATCATACAGGAGCTATGTTTTTAATGTTTTGAGGAACCTACATACTGTTTCCTGTCATGGTTATACCAATTTACATTCCCACCAACAGTGTACAACAGTTCTTTCTCAAAGTCAGGAATGTTAACATTGATTAGGTATTATTGGCAAACTCATAGTTCATACTCAAATTTATCATCTATCTAAAAATGCCCTTTGTAATTATTTTTTAAAATTCTGATTCATCATACAATCCAGGATCATGCATATCATCCAGTGGTCCTGTATCTTTAATCTCCTTTGATCTAGAGCAGTGATGGCGAACCTATGACACGCGTGTCAGAGGTGACACGCGAACTCATTTTTTTGGTTGATTTTTCTTTGTTAAATGGCATTTAAATATATAAAATAAATATCAAAAATATAAATCTTTGTTTTACTATGGTTGCAAATATCAAAAAATTTCTATATGTGACACAGCACCAGAGTTAAGTTAGGGTTTTTCAAAATGCTGACACGCCGAGCTCAAAAGGTTCACCATCACTG